CTCCAGCTCCAGTGACTCCAGCAGTAGCACCTCCAGCTCCAGCGCCTCCGACAGCTCCTGAACCTCTATCTCTAGCGACTCCAGCAGCAGCACCTCCAGCTCCAGCGCCTCCAGCAGCTCCAGAACCTCCAGCTCCAGCGCCTCGAGCAGCACCACCTCCAGCTCCACTCCAGCAGCAGTACCTCCGGCTCCAGCGCCTCCAGCAGCTCCAAAACCTCCAGCTCCAGCGCCACCAGTAGCAGCACCCCCAGAACCGGCACCTCCAGCCTAAAGGTCCCCAACTCTAGGGTCGACAGGACCAGCGCCAGGGCCTCCAGCAGCAGCACCCCCAGAACCGGCACCTCCAGCTCCAGGGTGTCCAACGCCAGGGTCGACAGCACCAGCTCTAGGGCCTCCAGCCCCAGTAGCTCCAGCAGCAGCACCCCCAGAACCGACACCTCCAGCTCCAGGAGCAGTACCAGTCCCGGCAGCTCCAGTACCTCCAGTAGGAGCACCTCCAGAACTAGAGACACTAGCACTCCCAGCGCCTCCACGACAAACAGCTCCAGCAGCACGACTCCTCAGGCGAGTACGCAACGCAAGCCACTATCGTGCCTGCTGTGGTGGGACAGGCCCGCGTCGTGAAACGAGACCCAGAGGAACGCCAGCAGACTCACCACCCCTAGGCTCCGCACCCCCCGGCACCTCACAGACGGGCTCAGCACCCCCAGACTCTGCAGCCACAGGCTCAGCACCCCCAGGCTCCGCACTCCCCAGCACCTGACACGCAGGCTCAGCACCCCCAGAAGCAGCACCCCCAGCAGCACCTCCTGCAGCAGCACCTGAGTCGCTAGAGTCCTCTATAGGCTCAGCCAAGGGGGGCGGGTCTACCTGAGACACACCTGAAGGAGCAGGACCCTGAGGGGGGAGGGGGTCTACCGGAGGGGGACCTGGAGCAAGGAAAAGCGGCGGGGGAGGGAGAGGGGTAGTGCGGTAGGGGAATAGATGGTAGAAAGGAACCGACTCGTCAAAGGTGACGTCCTGAGAGGGGAAGATACGGCGCGAGGCGGGGTGGTAAAACAGCCAGCCAGGCGCGTCAGGGACAAAGCGAAGGAAGACACATGGAATGGTGCGGGAGGAGAGCTTGCCCGCGGACGTATCGCGGACAAGGGCACAAGCACCCCAGACCCGGAAACGCGACGCATCGCCAACCTCCCCCGTCCAACGCAGTGTGGGCGAGGTCTTCGGCAAGGAGACACGGGGCCAGAGGTTGAGCTGCTGCGCGGCGTACCGGACCGCAAACGGCCACAGAAAATGGGGAGCCGCCGCATGAATCAAGGAGGTACGAGCGACCACCATGACTAAACCAATGCATTGCTCAGCAACCCCATTTTGCTGTGGTGAGCACGGAAGCGTGAACGACTGCTTGATGCCCTCTCCCTAACAGAAGGCCCGCAAGAGGTCGGAGATGAACTCACCACCTCTGTCAGAGTGCAGACGCAGGACAGGAAGGTCCTGGTGGGACCTGCGGCGGAGCCGGAGACGAACTGCTCGGATCCAAGGGATCAGGACAGCAGGGACCTCACCCTTGGTGCGCAAGGAGAAGACCGTGGTGTAACGCGAGTAGTCGTCGACAACCAGCAAAAAGTACCACTCACCGCCCTGTCCACGAACGTGGGCTGGGCCATACAAGTCTAGGTGGAGGGTCTGCAGAGGAGCCTCTGTTGGGGGAAACGAGGAAGAGTGAGGAGCGGCGCGCTGCCGCCCCTCGACGCAAGGAAGGCAGGGCGGCGCAGGCGAGGCAGGGAGGGGAGGGAGAGACCTGGGAAGACCAGACACAAGGAGGCGACGGTGCATGCTACGTAGATGTGGCAGGGAGGGGTGACCTAGGCGGTGGTGCCAGAGAAGAGTCTGGTGCGACAGGGAGCGACATGAACAAGGGGAGGCTACATGACATGACGCAGGCACTTGACCAGTAGCAGCTACCTGAGGAGGCACAGTCGTCAGTGTGTAAAGACTCGACCCTGGCCGACGGGTAAACGTGGCCAGGTGGCGGCCGGTCCGGGAGCACATACAGATCGCCACACGCTGTCCTCCAGGGGTGAAATTGTCAACCCACTGATCCTGGAGAACTGCGTTGCTCACCAAGTTCGTAGAGAACGAGGGGAGGTGGAAGCCTGTCAGTGAGCCAGACGGAACCGCTGTGGTGGACCATGCAAGAACTGGGCCCCCTGAGGGGTCAGCCAGAGAGACTGCAATAGGTGCAGTGAGTGGTGTGAATGTAGTACTGTCATGAAAGAAACAGCGGGAAGCACCTGAGTCAAGCGTGAAGGTGTGCAAGGCCTCAGCGGGCGCAGTACCTGAGAGAGCAGACTCGCTAGAACCTAAGGCAGCAGCCTCACCAGCACCTACGGTACCAGTTTCTATACCAGGGTCAGGCGGGACACACAAATAACTATCACCATTAACACTAACTTCCAATGCATACATGGCAGAAATAATAGCATCATAGTCAAGAGCAAAGATGTCTACACCAGCCTTAAGCAACTCATACCAGCGAAGGCGCTAAACGTCCTCGCCCGTCTCCTCACACCAGGCGTCGTCAAGGCGGGAGAAGCAGCGGTGCTGGGTGTGGAACTTCCCGCATGTCTGACCCTTGCGGTCACCTGTGCGGATGACATACGGGCAGCGACCACCACCCCCAGACCTCCCACGCTGAGTAAGCCACTCACAAAGCTTCTAGGTCGACTGGGGAATCTGCTGCTGCTGCTGCTGCCTCTGACCAGCTCCCGTGCCTCCACCCCGACCGCCACCTCCACCGCCACCACCGCCCCGGCCGCCACCGCTGCTGCCACCGCCACCGCCACCGCCGCTGCCACCCCCTCCGCCACCACCGCCTCCACCACCGCTACCGACGCTACCAGTCCCGCTAGTACTTCCGCCGCCACCTCCTCCTCCTCCTCCACCACCTCCGCCGCCACCCCCCCCGGTGCCACCCCCACTATCCTTGGCTCCCTTGCCCTTGCCACTGCGGCGCCTCCTACTGGGAGCAGAAGCAGCACCAACATACTCATCACCAAGGTAGTCAACAGCAGCGGCAGTAGCGTAGGAGGGGGCAAGGGGAGAGGGAGAGCACCCCTCAAAGATGGGGGTGCAAGGAGCGCCACGAGCAGCACCTACAGCGACAATGCTCTTCTCTGCTGCAAGGAGGTGCTCCTCTAGGAGGTCGACAGTGAGGTTGGTGGGACAGCGGGCGAGAAAGTGGTCCCTGACCGAGCTAAGAGAGTCAGGGAGACGGGTGACTATGAAGTGGAGGGTTCAGTACATCGGAGGCGGGTGCTTAGCACTGAACTCTTTGGGGAGGGCGGCGCGCAGGCGGGTGTCGCTAGTGTGAAGGTGGGTAATGGGATCGGCAACTGTGGCAAAGGAGGACAGTTAAGGAAACCGGTAGGGCAGCATGAGGCGGCTAAGCTCAGCTGTGGCAGGGGAGGAGTACCTTGCAACTACAGCGTCGTACAGGGTCTTAGCGGTCTTGTACTCGCCAAAATGCGTGAGCTCGGCTAACGGAAGGTGATTGCGAACGGCTAGGCGGGCAGCAGCATCACGAGTCTGCTAGTGGGAACGGGAGCTAAGCTCAGCGGTGGCAGCGGGAGCGACTGAGGCACCAGACGTGTGGTCATACAGCGAGACATTGTCCTTGCTATCGCTCATTAGAAACAGCTGCAGGTCATTTAGCCAGGTTTCGAACTGAATGGGGCGGCCCTCGGCATCGTACGACAAAACTCAGAGGGTGGCCATAGCTGCTGGCACGGGACTAGCAGGGCAGAGCGATTGCAGGCAAGCAACAGTAGCAATAGCACTAGTAGGGGAGAACGACGCTCGGGCGCTAGAGCTACGCTCGAGGCAGGCAAGGGCGACGCACTAGGAGGACCGAACCGCGCGCTGCCAGAAGGGCGGCGCGGCGGGCAGACAAGGGCGGCGCGAGGGGGTGCGCGAGGGCGGGGCCGAGCCGCGCGCTACATAAAAGGGGGGCGCGGTGGGGAGGGAAAGGCGGTGCGCGGGCCCTACAGGTGCGCGACAGGCCAGGCGGGGTCGCGCGCTGCCAGCAGGGCAGCGCGACTGGCTCCCGAGGGCGGTGCGAAGGCCCTAAGGCGACACGACGGGTGGGGCCGGGCCCTAGGGCGGCGTGACGAGAAAAAAAACGCGCGTCGCGCGGACAGCAGGGCGACGCGACGGGTGGAACAGCTCGATAGGCAGGGAAAGGCTAAAGAACATGAGACTTAATGGTGGGTCCACTAGGAAATTAGGTCCTAAGACCTAACTGCTCTTAATACCATGTTAGAGTAGGTGTGATTGAGTGTCGAGAGAGTTGGGTACAAGGATGAAAACCCTAAGGGGTTGTACCCTACATTGGCTACCCCACTACAGCCTACAGCTAAATATAAACCATATAAAGTTTGACAGGTTTGAATGTGGTGACCTGAGGTAGAGACTCGGGTAGTTGAGTTGAATGCATTCGATCACTCCTGATAAGTCAAGCGATCGCCTCTTGTTTAGTAGAAACGGTAGAGTGCGATGCTGTGCAAATATACGGTAATACGGTTTTGTTCGTTCAAAGTCTACAGTACCAGTCAAGCTTTGGTTCACAACGAAAGGTTTGCAACTGCATAGTACAAACGACAACCAAAGAAACCTACAAATACAAGGTAACACACCAAGCACCGAAGCTATAAATCTTTCTGAAGGGAATAAAACTAGACCTTATCGTACAACACACCAGCAAGCATGCAATGACATTCCCGATACACACTTTAAAAAATTCAGCCAACCGTCAGCCAAGCTGGTTCCTGGCCTCCGAGCAACCGAAGGCAGTTGCTAGCACCTCTGCTCCATCAGCCCCCGCCAATCTAGCATTCCTCTGGCGCTGCCAGCTTGCACCTCCCTGCCCCATGTACAGCCAACTAGAGCCGCCGGTTCTTTGCTTGTCCAGCAGCCCTCCCTTCATAATGGGCCTGATCCACTCAGGTTGCAGCCCCTTCCTCCCTAATGGGCATGATCAACCTGAAGTTGCACCGCTCCCTCCATGCTGAAGCTGCTCGCACCTCTGCTCCAGCAGCCCCTCCCTCCGCTCCAGCATCCCCTCCCTCCCTAGTGGGCATGATCAGCCTGAAGTTGCCAAGGGAAGGAGCGAATGGAGGGCAGGCCACAGCATAAGAGGTGAGATGAGGCAGAAGATGGTAGAGGAATACGTGTGCTTCACATGTGGGTTGTTCATGGGTGCATGTGGGTTGTTCATGGGTGCATGTGGGTTGTTCATGGGTGCATGTGGGTTGTTCGTGGGTGCATGTGGGTTGTTCATGGGTGCATGAGAGTGGAGGAGAGCTGGCTGCACCAGCTTGGAGGAGAGCAAGGCACAAAGCAGAGTATGGCACAGATCAGAGAATGCATTAATTCCTCTCCCGTACGAGTGAACCCACACTTACCAATCTGGCAGCCAACTGATTGCGAGACTTGGGCTAGTTTGACAGTCCTGAGAGAGGGCGAGGTAAGGATGGGGAAGAGCAAAGATGAGAACGAGTCACTCCAGTTATTACAGTCACTCCATTCACGCTACAACGGCCAAGCAAGCTCTAGTAATCAATGAGCGTTGTACCCATGGGCTAGAAGAATAAAAGGACTAACCACACATCACGTGCCATGCATCACACATGAGCCGTAGATGAGCCGTGCACCATACATGAGCCGTGCACCACACATGAGCCGTGCACCACACATGAGCCGTGCACCACACATGAGCCGTGCACCACACATGTGCCGTGCACCACACATGAGCCGTGCACCACACATGTGCCGTGCACCACACATGCGCCCGTGCACCACACATGTGCCGTGCACCACACATGCGCCCGTGGACCCCACTTACACACCGTTTCGTGACGGGGTAGGCAAGGCCCGTCCTCGCATGACGCATGATCGTGAGAGCCGCCTGCCCTGAGCAGCCCGGGCAGGTGTAGAAACTGGAAGCATAATACTTGCCTTGACACATGTGCCGTGCATCACACTCACACACCTTTTCGTAATGGGGTACCCTAAACCCTTTCGCGCGGGACGCATGATCGTGAGAGCCGCCTGCCCTGAGCAGCCCGGGCCGGTGTAGAAATTCAGAGCGTAGCACTTTCCGTCTCCAGCCGCAGCGAGCTTGGCGGCTCGCCACACCACGGTGACCTTGGCGGTGCCGCCGATGCTGGAGGTGAGTTCCGTGCACGCGGAGGTGCCGCCAAGCGCGTCTGCCGGACCAATGGTGGAGAAGGTGACCTTCTGCTTCTGGGCCTTGCTGCGGTTGGGTTTGCGCCCCCCAGGTCCGAAGTTGCCTTGCAGCTCCAGCGTCGTCCGCAGTAGAGGGACTGAGCGGCGGGCGGGACAGGGGAAAGGAGTGGAAGTGGCATGGGGGGGGAGGTGCGGGAGAAGGTGACTTTCTGCTTCTGGGCCTTGGCCTTGCGGTTGCGCCCAGACCTGGAGTTGCCTTGCAGCTCCAGCGTCGTCCGCAGTAGGGGGACTGAGCGGCCGGTGAGACAAAAGGAAAGGAAGAGGGCAGTCAGGTGAGGAGAGAGGAGATGAACGCAGCCAAGTGGCCTGAGTGGCCGATGAGACAGGTGACAGCAGGAATGGAAAAGGCAGGGAAAGGAAAGGAAAGCGGCACGTAGGGGAGAATGTGTGGGAGGAGTGAGGAGATGAAAGCAGCTGGTCTCCAAGAGTTGCCTCTCAGTGCTGCCTGCTGAAACATGTTTGAAATATATTGCTTAGCACTCACGATAGCACGTCCTGTCTAGCACTCACGATAGCACGTCCTGTCTAGCACTCACGATAGCACGTCCTGTCTAGCACTCACGATAGCACGTCCTGTCTAGCACTCACGATAGCACGTCCTGTAAGCCTCGCTGAAGACAAAACCAGCGGTGAGGCACTCGCACTCGGGATCGCCAAAACCGACCCTCGAGCAGACAGCATCGCCACAATCCAGGGCCAGACACGGCTCTGCAGGGGAAATTATGGGTCAGGGGAGGGGGCTTAGACGAGTTGAACTCCTGCATGTTATGCTGTGAGTAGTGGTTTTCTAAAAATTATGAATGTGACATACGGAAATTCAGGGTTTGGTTGCGATAACTGCGCATCCCCATACACTCACCCACACACGGACACTCACCCACACACGAATACCCCCACACACACGAACACTCACCCACACACGAATACCCACACACACAGCACACTCACCCACACACGAATACCCACACACACACGCACACTCATCCACTCACGAATACCCACACACACACGCACACTCACCCACACACGAATACCCACACACACACACGCACACTCACCCATACACGTCTTAGTATCGTTATTGAATTCAGAACCATCGATGCACAAGCACTCGGCTGTGTTATCTTGACCCACACTGCACTCCGCATCGATCCCACAATCCACGTTCGTACACACGTCTGCACAGCAATTGTAAATTGTTCCGGTAGAAGGTAAAGACGGGAAAGCGAGTTAGAGGAAGACCGAAATTCTGTCGGTCACCCACACTCCACCACCCGCACTCCATCACCCAAGCGAGATAGATCCACACACGCTTATCGCAACAAAAACGAGGGTAAGAAGCATGAGCGAACACCCCTTGGGTTGGGTGCCACGGTGGGTGTCACGGTGGGTGCCACGGTACATGCCAGTCAGTCAGGACTCACCGTCAGCGGCGCTGGCGTGCGTCGCGAGGAAACCGATGGCAACGAGACACGCGACGAGAGTCGCGAGACCGAGACGAGACAGCCGCTCGTAGTAGCGCCGGTCCATGATGGCGAAGGGAGACGAGCCGGAGGAAACGAGAAGATGGAGAGACAACCGATCGAATGCGCCGATGCCAAGAAGGTTGTGAGTTAGAGCTGAACCACTGAGACTCGCGTCGCTCGTAGTCGTGACGCGGTGAGATTGGGTGGGACCTCGAAGGTGGTACTCGGAAGGGAGGAGACGAGAGGAAGAGGCGCGCAATGGGCGAGCAGCCGTGTGTGAGAATGTGATTGCGGGCTTAGAAGCGGGCGTGGATTTATGTGCTGAGAGCGAGTGGTCAATCAATCAGCTTGATTTATTGGTGTTCTTAGTAGAAGTAAACCAGTCTTGCGGACTCGGCGCGCATCATGTAACCCGTTTCATCGCGGAGAAGAGAGCGGGGAACACGAGGGGAGGCGCAGTAGGGACGCGCGGCAGGGAGGAAGGGGGGATCATCGCAACGCCGAGGCTCGAAAGTGAATCGCACGAGAGCGATCGGGTTGAGGAGTAGGAAACAGCACGAGGCGATTCGAGCAATATCGACCAGTAAGCGGAAGGAAATTCCTCATTACGAGCGGCCAAGGCGTGGTGGTCATTTTAGTCATATCGGCCAGTAAGAGGAGGGAATCCCCCTGGTACGAGGAATGGATAAACGAGGCTCCTGCGATGGCGGGAGGAACTCGGTAGGGAGGGATGGTCGAGGCGGCTAGGCGAACGCGTTAAACTGGTCAATTTGATTGGACGAGGCGGGATTCAAACTCCGCGACGGGGTGGTAGGCGATAAGGCTTCCGCCTCTACTAGTAGTTGGAGAGTAGCGCGCTCGCGCAAACCAGGGGGTTGATGGAAGTGCGGGACTTGCGGGAATTTTTGTCGCCATTGAATTCGAGTCAAGCGATCACTCCAGACGCGTTTGAGAACCACAATGAGCGGATTCAGTGTAGCCCCAGGCACCAATCCGTTCTATATTACAACCAATCTATGTTGGTACCAGTACAGGAATTAGAGACTTCAGGGTATTTGCTTTTCAATGAAGGTGTAACACATTCCAGAGATAACCATCACATAACAGGACCCACTACGCAAAATAGGGGGTGCTCACATGGAAACCAGAATTGAACACCCAGGTCCGCATGTGTCGTTCAAAAGAAGTGTTCAATTTGGGGGGGTGTCATGTCATGTCATGCCATGCACTCGAAAATATGGTACAGTACATGCCGGACAACACTCTCTACAGATCACTACCGCACAGCACCGCAACACACCGCATCTGCATCTCCCTCCCCGCCCCTCACTCGGCGAGCATCTGCTCCGAGTCAACGTCATCGCCGGTGCCCAGCCGTGGCTTGCCCCCTCCTGGCTTGCCACCGGACCCATGCAATCTCATGACAAGAAGAACCACCTCCACCACCGCCACAAAGCACCGCAACACACCGCATCACCCTCCCCTCCCCTCACTCAGCCAGCATCTGCTCCGAGTCAACGTCTTCCCCCGTGTCCATCTGCGGCTTGCCTCCTCCCGGCTTCCACCGCACACCACCGCAACACACTCCCCTCACTCGGCCAGCATCTGCTCCGAGTCAACGTCATCCCCCGTGTCCAGCTGCGGCTTGCCCCCTCCTGGTGCGCCGCCCGCCTGCTTCTTCTTGAGCCTGCTGACGGGCATGTAAAGACAAAGAAGCTGCGCTTCCCTCACTCCACCATCACTACACCATTAAACCACACTCCCAGCACTTTCCTCACCACTCCCCACCACTCACCACCACCCACCCCCAGCTCCTTCATGTCTGTGAGGGCACCCGTGTCGCCGCCAATGCCCTCTCTCAGCCCTCCCCACAGCACTGTCCCCCCCCCAACAGACTTCCCCAACAATCTCCCTCACCACTCCCCACCACTCACCCCCAGCTCCTTCATGTTTGTGAGGGCACCCGTGTCACCGTCAATGCCTATGGACGTGTTGGTGCCTTGCGCGTGCTGTTGGGGTGTGGGGGGGGGAGGGATGAGGCCCGGACGGGAGGAAAGGAGACATGATGTACGTGTGTACCTGTGAATGTGTGCATGTGAGGGCACCCGTGTCGCCGTCAATCCCTATGGACGTGTTAGCACCTTGCACGTGCTGTTGGGGTGCCGGGGGGAGCAAAGGTGGTGGGATGGGAGGATAGGAGAGATGAGGCACATGTGTATCAGAAACAAAGCTTTTCCTCTTCACTAGAGAGGGTATAGGCCAGAGGGAAGAGGGGAGAGAGAGAGGGGAAAACATGGAAAGCACAATGACGGAGCCAGTCTCACAGGCGCTGCTCATGAGGCAAGCAGCCCCACCTTGGCCTGCCGCCCACCTTGGCCTGCCGCCCACCTTGGCCTGCCGCCCACCTTGGCCTGTCGCCCACCTTGGCCTGCCTCCCACCTTGGCCTGCCGCCCACGTTGGCCTGCCGCCCACCTTGTCCTGCCGCCCACCTTGTCCTGCCGCCCACCTTGTCCTGCCGCTCACCTTGTCCTGCCGCCCACCTTGTTCTGCCGCCCACCTTGTCCAGCCACAGCAGGGACAGCAGCACCAGCCACAGCAGGGACAGCAACCGCAGCAGCAGCACGGACCGCAGCAGCAGCAGGCACTGCAGCAGTTCCGGCAATGGGGGCCCCCGCTGCAGTGGGGTCCGCAGCAACACTGGGGTCCCCCGCCGCAATGGGGTCTGGGAGGACCAGGGAGAACCGGCCGCAGCAGCAGCACTTTCAGCTGGGCCCCTCGCCCCCCTCGCCGTGACACTGGCCCTTGCACCCACTGGTGCCTCACCGGACCGGGCAGCCCCTGCCTCTGCGGTCACGACGACCACTCTGCCGCGCGGTGCTTCCCGCCGCCTCGACGACCTCTACCGTGCTCGTTGGGGCCCTGCGGCGACCACTCCTCGTTGGGCCCGCCTGTTAGCCTGTAAGATTGATGTGCTTGATCTGGTGGGTGTTGGATACCTCCAGGACAGGGGGATCATGGTTACCTTTGTGGGAGGTGGGAGGACTGCGGTCTGTTCAGACGCTGCCACAGGTGCTGTTCTGGCCACGTTCACTAGGGAGCCCCGCTCCGGTCTCTACATTCTCCACACCGAGCGCTCCCCGGTTGCATCCTCCGCTCAGGTCATTGCGTCCCCTCCAGTCCAGGTGTCCAGTCCGGTTGCTGTGTTTAGCCAGGTGGTCGTGTCTGGTCCGGTTGCAGTGACTAGTCAGGTTACGTTGTCCAGTCCGGTTGCTGCGTCCTGCTCGTGTCAGTCCTTCACCCACCGGACCGTCTTGTGGCACCACCGCCTTGGCCACCCGTCGATCCCCCGCCTACGCGGCATGACCACGCACGGGCTTGTCACCGGTCTCCCGCGCACCTTTCCGTCGCTCCCTACCCCCCTTGCACTCCTTGCGTCGCCAATCGCTTATGCGCCACTCCCCACTCCTCCCTTCGTCCAGCCACTGCTCCCTTCGAGACTCTCCACTTGGACGTCTAGGGCCCTGCCCCGACACAGGGATCTGGGAGGGAGCGTTAGTTTCTGGTGGTCGTCGACGACTACTCCTAGTACACCACAGTGTTCCCTCTCGCGAAGAAGTCTGAGGTGACTTCTACGCTGATCTGTTGGCTTCTGGCTACTGAGGGCACTCGTGGCCGTCGTGTCAGTTGTCTACACTCCGACCGTGGGGGCGAATTTCGCTTCGGCATTCTTGGCAGATTCTGCGGCGAATAGGGCATCACACAGTCCTGGACGATTTCGAAGTCCCCATAGCAGAATGGGGTTGCTTAGCGCCGCATTGGCTTGGTCATGGACATTGCTCGCACGTCCATGATCCATGCCCGTGCGCCCAATTTTCTATGGCCCTACGCGGATCGCAACGCCGCAGACCAGCTGAATTGAACCTCCAGTCGCATGTCTCGCAGCCAGAGGCTTCACCGACCAGTCTTTGGACCCGTTCCCCTGGTGTTGGGTCGGCTTTTCGTGTCTGGGGCTGCCTTGCACTTGTTCGCGACACCTCCGCGGACAAGATCTCGGTGCGCGCCGTCCCCTGTGTCTTCCTTGGTTTCTCAGTGGACTTTGCCGACTTGTCTTTTTACCACCCGCCCCTCCACCAGTTCCTAGACTCCCGTGACATCCGGTTTGACGAGTCCGTGTCCTACTACACCCGGTACCCCTGTCGAGGTCTCCCGGTACCCCCTCCCCCTCTTTTCCTCGCACCCTCTCCTCCTCCTGCTCCCACTCCTCCGGTACCCCCGCCCCCCTCTGGTCCTGCCCCGTCTGGTGTGTCCCACGCTACCCCTCTACCCTCGGTCGCGCGTCAGGTAGCGTCTCCCTCCCCGCAGTCCTCCTCACTGTCCCCTCAGCAGCCTTCGGCACTTCCGCGACAGGTTACTGTGGCCTCGGTTGGTGTTGGAGCTGGAGGTGCGGCCGCTGGTGGTACTCAGTCTGGGGGTGCTCATTCGAGAGGTGCTGGAGCCGGAGGTCCCGGCGTAGGTGGCGCTAGCTTTGGGGGTGCTGGAGCTGGGGGTGCTGGAGCTGGAGGTGCTGGCACTGGAGGTGCTAGTTCTGGGGGTGCTGGAGTTGGAGGTCTTGGCACTGGAGGTGCTAGTCTGGGGGTGCTGGAGCTGGAGGTGCTGGCACAGGAGGTGCTGGTTCTGGGGGTGCTGGTGCTGGAGGCGCTGGCACTAGAGGTGCTGGTTCCGAGGAGACTGGAGCTGGAGACACTGGTTCTGCGGAGTCCACTCCGCCTCCCCACCGCCATGACGCGCGTCTCTAGGCGGCCCGTCGGCGTGAGCGTGAGGAGCAGGTGCTGTTGGAGAGGGAGCAGCAGGAGTTGCGGCAGTTGGATCTGCTAGAGCAGCAGCGGCGGCGGCGGCGGCAGCAGCAGCAGCCGCAGCTCAGACCAGTGCAGCCCCCTCTAGAGCGGCAGTTGTTCCAACCCGTGAGTGGCCTTCGGGTTTTTGGTCTTCCCTCCTCTCCTCCTGTTCACACTCCGTCCTCTCCAGTGTTTGGTCCCACGTTTCCTCCTCCTGACGACGGTCCGGCGGTCTGGTCTTCTCCTCCACCGCAGTCTCCTCCACCAGTTGTCTTACACTCTCGTGTCCATCCCTGTCCTCCACGTGGTCGTCCCTCGTCTACCGTTACCGGCCTCCGCACTGCCCTCCTTTGTTCATCTCTTCGTCGTCCTCCTCCTGAATCTGTTCTCCCGTCTCCTCCTTCGTCCTCTCTCCCTGTCCCCCCTACTCCTATCACTGACTACTACCATGCTGTTCGTCTTGTTGTATCACGTGTCCTCGCCACTCTTGTCACCGCCTCTCATTTCCCTCCGTCGTCTGTCTCGGCTCTCCTTGCCGCTGTCGCTGAGTTTGCTGCCGTCAGTCGCCTTGACTATGCCACTCGTGTGTTGCCAGCTCCTCCCTCCCGTCCTCTGTCCTCGTACTTACCGCGAGGCAGTGTCAGGGGCGTGGGCCTCTTAGTGGAAAGCGGCTATGGCCTCGGAGTTAGCGTCTTGGAGATCTACAGGCACCTACGTCGACGCAGTTCCCCCTCCAAGGGCGAACGGTGTCGATGGCATGTGGCTCTTCAAGGTGAAGCGACCTCCTGGTTCACTGCCTGTGTTCAAGGCGCGCTACGTGGCTAGGGGTTTCAGTCAGCGTGAGGGAGTTAACTTCTTCCACACCTTCGCCCCAACCTCGAAGATGACTACTCTTCGGGTGTTACTCCACATAGCAGCGCAGCGAGACTACGAGCTGCACTCCCTCGACTTCTCCACAGCGTTTCTCCTGGGCCGACTACACAAGGAGAACTGGCTGCGCCGCCCTCCTGGCTTCACTGATACCTTCCCACCTGGGACCCAGTGGAGCCTGAGGCGGCCAGTCTACGGTCTCCGCCAGTCGCCCCGTGAGTGGCACGGCACTCTTCGCTCCACGCTTTGTGACCTTGTGTTTAGTCCGTTGTCCGCCGACCCGTCGCTGTTTGTTCGGGCTGGCTCTACTCCTTTCTTCATCCTTGTCTACGTTGACGATTTGGTCTTTGCTACGGCAGACAGGCCAGCCCTGGCTCAGGTGAAGTCCAAACTGCAGAAGAGACACAAGTGCACTGACATAGGCGAACTGCAGCGCTACCTTGGCCTGCAAATCACTAGGGACAGAGCCGCTCGCACCATCACACTGACTCAGTCACACATGGTGCAGCAGGTCCTTCGACGGTTCGACTTCCAGTTCTCCACTACACAGCCCACACCTCTTGCTGTTGACCACAGACTCACTGGCCCCTTTCCGGACGAGCCCTTTGAGTCCAACGGTCCCTACGCAGAGCTGGTGGGCTGCCTCATGTACCTGATGACTTGTACTCGGCCAAACCTCGCCTTTCCCCTCAGCATCCTTTCTCGCTTTGTTGCGACTGGGAGACACCGTCCTGTCCACTCAACAGCTGCTGTGAGGGTGGCAAGGTACCTGGCGACTACATCAGGCATAGGGCTTGTGCTTGGAAGGACTTAGCCAGTGGCGTTGACTGGTCACTGCGACTCTTCCTACGCTGACGACGTGGAGACTCAGCGCTCGACTCAGGGTTACTGCTTCAGTCTGGAAGCTGGTGCTGTGTCGTGGAGGTCTACACGGTCGTCGTCTATGGCTACTTCCAGTGCAGAGGCAGAGATCTACGCTGGTGCCATGGCGGCACAGGAGCTTCGCTGGTTGACCTTCTTGCTCGACGACCTTGGTGAGCGGCCTTGCTCTGCACCGACCTTGTACGCTGACAACAAGGCCATGATCTTCCTCTGTCGAGAACCTCGACTAGAGAGCAGAGAGAAGCATATTGACGTGAGGTACTTCCTCCTGCAGAGTTGCAGCGACGCGGCCAGGCACGCCTGGACTTTGTGGCCTCAGAGGCCAACACTGCAGACGTCTTCACCAAGGCCTTGGCGCTTGGTGACCACCATAGGTTCTGTGTGCAGTTGGGGCTTGTTGAGGTAGGCCCTCGGTTGCTGTAGTCTTGTTGCTTGCTTTGCTTGTTGTACTTTCCTATATATATCCTAGTGAACTCTTGAACTGGCCTTGTGGCTGCATGCTTGCGCTCGGAATTTGTGTGGTGTCCTTGAGATCCACCCTGAGCTTGCTTTGTTTCTTGGCGACTGTGTGGTGACCATTTCTCTGCCTTGCTTGTTTTGATGCCCCTCACTTAGCCTATGGGGGTGTGTCAAATATAATAGTTATAGGCTGTAGTAAGATGCATTCTCGAGGGTACAGATGTTACGGTTTCCTACTTGTATCCAGCACTATGCTAGTTCATGCATTCCGTTGTTCGCTAACTTTGAGAGTGTCATGTCATGTCATGCACTCGAAAATATGGTACAGTACATGCCGGACAACTTCTACTCAACACTCTCTACAGATCACAACCGCACAGCACCGCAACACACCGCATCTGCATCTCCCTCCCCGCCCCTCACTCGGCCAGCATCTGCTCCGAGTCAACGTCATCGCCGGTGCCCATCCGTGGCTTGCCCCCTCCTGGCTTGCCACCGGACCCATGCAATCTCATGACAAGAACCACCTCCACCACCACCGCAAAGCACCGCATCACACCGCATCACCCTCCCCTCCCCTCACTCAGCCAGCATCTGCTCCGAGTCAACGTCTTCCCCCGTGTCCATCTGCGGCTTGCCTCCTCCCGGCTTCCACCGCACACCACCGCAACACACTCCCCTCACTCGGCCAGCATCTGCACCGAGTCAACGTCATCCCCCGTGTCTAGCTGCGGCTTGCCCCCTCCTGGTGCGCCGCCCGCTTGCTTCTTCTTGAGCCCGCTGACAATGTCGTTGATGCGCAGCAACATGCACGCCGCCTCGATGGCCGTCTTTACCGTCTGCACCTTCACCACATACGGCTCCCACACCTGGCACACAGGCACAGAGTTAGGCAGGCAGGGGGGCAGGGAGGTGGGGAGGCAAGGAGGCTGCGAGGCAGGGAGGAAGGGAGACACGGGGATGAGTGGAGGGTGTAAAAGGCTAAACCACACACATGCCGCCCGCCTGCTTCTTCTTGAGCCCGCTGACAATGTCATCGATGCCCAGCAGCATGCACGCTGCCTCGATGACTGTTTTCACTGTCTGCACCTTCACTGCATACGGCGCCACACCTGGCAGGGAGTGGGGAAGGGGGATAGGGAGGCAGGGATGTAGGGTGACAGGGAGGTAGGGAGGCAGGCGGATGAGTGGAGGGTGTGAAAGGCAAAACAGTACACACACAGCCTCAGTGCTTTCCCTGTCTGTTCCTGCACGGCCTATGGCTGCCACAACTGGCAGCGGACACAGGGAGAGGCGTGAGGCAGGGAGGCAGGAAGGCAAGGAGGCAGCGAGGCAAGAAGAAGACATGATGGAGTGTGGACACCTGCTACAAGAGCGGGAAGGAGCGTGAGGAAACAAGGGACGGGCATGTAAAGACAAAGAAGCTGCGTGTGGAATAACACAGAGAAGGTTTTTTTTCGCATGGAAAAATGCAAAGGATTGCCGCATGCCACATCACCTCCAGTCGCGCTTCCCTCACTCCACCATCACTACACCATTAAACCACACTCCCAGCACTTTCCTCACCACTCCCCACCACTCACCACCACTCACCCCCAGCTCCTTCATGTCTGTGAGGGCACCCGTGTCGCCACCAATGCCCTCTCTCAGCCCTCCCCACAGCACTGTCCCCCCCCCAACAGACTTCCCCAACAATCTCCCTCACCACTCCCCACCACTCCCCACCACTCACCCCCAGCTCCTTCATGTCTGTGAGGGCACCCGTGTCACTGTCAATGCCTATGGACGTGTTGGTGCCTTGCGCGTGCTGTTGGGGTGCGGGGGGGGGGGGGAGGGATGAGGCGTGGACGGGAGGAAAGGAGACATGATGCACGTGTGTACCTGAGAATGCGTGCGTGTGAGGGCACCTGTGTCGCCGTCAATGCCTATGGACGTGTTAGCACTTTGCGCGTGCTGTTGGGGTGCCGGGGGGAAGGGAAGGTGGTGGGACGGGAGGACAGGAGAGATGATGCACGTGCATATTAGAAAGAGAGCAGGGATGGAGTAGGGGAAGTGGGGGAGGGGGGAGGGGAGATGGGAAACAGGGGGTGGGAGGGGAAGATGGGAAACGGGGAAGTGAGGGGGGTGCTGGCTCTAGTTTGGATGGTGGGAAGTGGAGTGGGGGAGGAGAAGAAGCAGAGGGTTGTGGGCTGCAAACAAGTACCGCCAGTGCCAGCAGCGCCGCCAGAAGCAGCATCAGCATTGAGGAGTGGAAATGCAACAGCAAGTAGGGAGCGAGCAGCTCAGAAACTTGGAGGGCAGGGCGCAGCGCACTGACTTGGAGAGGTTGTGCGCATGTGGGCGCATGTGGGGAGATGGCAGAGAGGGCAAGGACATGGGCGAAAAGGGGCAATGAGGGCGCGTGGGAGAGGAGGTAGTGATATTAGTTCAACAGCTCAACGTTGGTCTGATTCTCGCCCTTCTTGTACTCCAGAGGTGAGTCCAGCAGCACGACTCGTGGGTTCTCAAGTTGCTGCCCCCACCCCTCCCCTCCACCCCATCCTCTTTCACTCACCAATCCTCCTCCTTCAGAAGCTCCACGTTCGTCTAGTTCTCGCCCTTCTTGTACTCCAGGGGCGAGTCCAGCAGCACCACTCTTGGGTTCTAATTGTCACTGAAACATGCCAAATGTTGCAGCCCCCCACCTCATTCCTGGCCGCTCACCAGTCCTCTTCCTTCAGCAGCTCGACGTTCGTCTGGTTCTCACCCTTCTTGTACTCCAAAGGGGAGTTAAGCAGCACGACTCGCGGCTTCTCGATTTCTATCGCACTAAATCGCGTCATACAAATGTTGCTGCTCACTTTCCCCCCTCCCCCTTACCCCTTGTGACTACTCACCAGTCCTCCTCCTTAAGAAGCTCCACGTTGGTTTGGTTCTCCCCTTTCTTATATTCCAAAGGCGAGTCTAGAAGTACCACTCGCGGGTTTTCAATCCGCCGCCGCATCTTGCAAGGGGCCACCACGTCCTTGTTGAACATCACAACCGAAGATGTAGGGCGACTGAAATGGGTGAACCGAAGATGCGGAGGTGTGATTCGTCCGGACGTGCACCGGTCCATAGTTCTATGGGAGTCTTAGAAGTTGAACCACCCCGACTAATGGCATGCTATCAGAGCTAGGCTTCTAGCTTTGTGAACGTCGCACACTTGATGGCTCAAGTTGAGACGCCTCTCGATTGGCACACCCTTCCTATCTTGGAACCGGATGGTTCCAACTTCATTCCATGGAAGAAAAAGATCTGCTACATGTTCAATTTCCTTGGGCTGATCTCCCTTCTTGGAGGTCCCAAGGTTGCTTCCCGCCCTTCCATTTTTTCCTCCACAACCAGCAGTGGAGATGCTACTGAAGGCAACAATGGTGCAGCCCTTAAAACAGCCCACTCGATTGCGTCGCTGCCGGATGAAGAAAAAGAGGAGCATGCGTAATATCTTCTCATGTCAGCCGTCCATCCTCAGCTCTCGCTCACACTTGCTCAAGCCAAGCGGGTTGAGCTCAAAACTAATGAGGCTCATATTGACGAGGGCTTTACCCGCAACAATCTGTTTTTCCTTTAGCTGCATCATGGGAGCAGTGCCGCCCTCCCCATCAACCCAACGGCATGTCCAGTCTCCACCACCACCTCCTCGTACCTTTGGCATCGCCGTTTTGGGCATCTTAACATGCGGGACTTGTCAACACTTCATCGGCAGCAGCTGGTCACCGGTCTTAACCTCTCCTCCTCCTCAATTCCCCAATGCATCTCGTGCTATCATGGGAAGCAAACGTGTCAACCATTTGGCGTGTCCCATTCTCGCACAACAGCACCGCTCCAACTCATTCATTCTGATTTTGCTGGACCGTTTTCATATGGAACCACCATTGGAGGCGCTCGCTACCTTCTCACCTTCATCGACGACTATTCCCGCCACATTACCGTGTATCTCCTACGCCATCGTTCAGAGGCATTGTCGTGCTTCAAAGATTACGTCACTCGGGTGCACAATATGCATTCCCCAAGGACCATTAAAGCGTTTCGCTCTGATGGTGCCTTGGAGTTCAATTTTGACGCCTTCACTTCATTCCTTAAAGCTCATGGCATCGCTCGACACCGCTCTACACCGTACACACCCGAACAAAATGGAGTTGCTGAACGTGCCAATCGGACTATACTTGAGATGGTCCGTTCCATGCTTCATGACGCACACATGGACAAAGGACGGTGGGGTGAAGCCGCTCTCACTACTACCTATCTCCGAAATCATGCCATTAGTCGGGTTGGTTCAACTTCTAAGACTCCCATAAAACTATGGACCGGTGCATGTCCAGACGTATCACACCTCCGCATCCTCGGTTCACCTATTTCAGTCATCGTTCCTCCGCAACGGCGCTCTAAGCTCGACGACCGAAGCACGGCCGGCATCATGCTTGGGTATGGTCATCTTGACGGCACCAAAGCTTATCGCATCTATATCCCAACTCAGCACCGTGACACACTTTCTCTTGATGTCACCTTCATGGAGCCCTCTTCGCCACCTTTCGACGACCCTCGAGAACCTCCATCGTCATCTCCACCACCCATATCATCCTCTCCGCCTCCTCCTACACCCCCTTCCCTCTCAGACCCAGCCTCCCCTCCCTCTCGTTCACCTCCCATGCCCTCTTCCACCACCCTCCTCCCACCATCTCCAAATCTGCCAGCACCAGCCACCTCTTCTCCTCCTCCTTTGTATTCCAACCTTCCTCTACCCTCGATGCCGCAAGACTTCCGCCTTCCATCCCTCTCCTCTCCTTCTTCAGCTCGTCCTCCCCCTTGCACCTCTAGTTCCTCACCACCATCTGCTTTAGCTCCTTCCAATCCTTCACTTTTCTCACTGCTCAAGGTCTTACCCTCTCCTTCTAAACCCATTGACTTCACCCTTCCTCCTCTTTCCAAGACCTCCGCTAATGCCGCCCTTCATCATCATTACGAACCTCAAAACATCCATGAGGCCCGCACCGGCCCTGATGCTGCTGAATGGATCAAGGCTGCTGATGCGGAACTCGCTGCCCCTGCACGCAAATGACACTTACACCGTTGTTCCTCGACCACCCAAGTGCAAGCCGATTCCATGCAAATGGATTTTTAAGGTCAAGGAGCATGCTGATGGTTCTATTGAACGCCGCAAGGCCCGCCTTATTGTCAAAGGTTTCAAACAACGCGACGGTGTTGATTTCCATGACACCTCCGTCCGCTTCACCACCCTCCGCCTCTTCCTCACCATTGTTGCCGCTTTCGACCTAGAAGTCCATCAGTTGGACATTTGCAACACCTTCCTCAATGGCACTCTTGATGAAATTCTCTACATAATGCAGCCTCCCAGTTATGAACTTCCGGCGGTCCATGGTGTTGAGCAAGTTTGTCTCTTGCACAAACCGTTGTACGGGTTGAAGCAAGCGCCGCGGTGCTGGTACCGCAAAATTCATTAAGAGCTTGCTGCCTTTCACCTTTTTTCTGCCCGTGCGGACCCCGGCCTCTTCATTGCTCCTCCACATTCTCCTTATCGGCCTACAGCTGCATCATTATTCATGCTTCGCGTCTATGTTGACGACCTCATCATTCTTTCCTCCTCCTCTTCTCTTCTCTCCTCATTCAAGCGTGCCCTTTCATCTCGCTTCAAGCTTCGTGACCTCGGTCCTCTTTCCTACTACCTTGGCTTTCACATCACTCGTGATAGGACCTCCCGCACTCTCCACCTTCATCAATCCAAATTCATCACCTCCATCTTAGACACTTACTCATTCACACCACTTAACACTGCTGCCACCCCCATGGACACCAAGTTTCAGCCGCCCGTGAATTCCTCCCAACACTCCTCCTCCTTTCCTTATACCTCGTTTGTCGGATCCATCATATATGCCATGGTGGGTTCCTGTCCCGACCTCGCATATAGCGCTGGAGTTCTTGCTCGTCACCTTCATGATTGATCTACTTCTCACGTCTCGGCTGCCAAACGCGTTGCTCGCTACTTGAAAGGGACTACCTCGCTCGGGCTTCTCCTTGGTGGCATTCCCAACGCCCTTGAATTCATGGGTGGTGTGACGCCTCTTGGGGACCGGAGGGAGAGCTCCGACGCTCCGTTGTGTGCTACTTGTTCTTCCTCGGTCCGTCACTCATCTCTTGGCAGTCCAAACGTCAAGCTGCCGTCGCAACCTCTTCATGTGAAGTTGAATAATATTCTCTGGGCGCCGCGGTGCATGAGGCATTATGGCTTCGATCCCTCCTTATTGCACTTGGAGTTCCCCCCATCGGCCCCACCCACATCTCGTGTGACAACAACAGCACCATCATTCTGGCCAAGCACGACGGCGTCTTTCATCCCAAGGCCAAGCACATCGACATCAAGCACCATTTCATTCGTGATCATGTCGCTGACCAATCCGTCACCCTTCACTATGTTCCTACTCGAGACAACCTCGCTGACATTGGCACCAAGCCTTAGCCCCGTGACTCTTTTCTTCATATCCGTGGTCTTCTTAATCTCACCCATGTCTCCGCTTGAATGACCCTACCCGGGGGACATCCTTGAGGGGGGGTGTTGTGCAGCAAGTTTGTCCCAGAGGGTAGATTCTCACCTTTGGTCTTAGAGGTCGTGGGTTCAATTCTTAGTAGCTGCACTTTCCCTTCTCATTATGCTCCACATTACATGTCCATAAGGGTGTAAACACGAATACGATTTCAAATACGGTTACTGTAAACGAATAGTTGCCGAATACATGGCCATATTTGTATTTGTCCGAATAATTCGGGGTATGAGAATACGAATACGGTTCAAATATATGGATAGTTGTCGAATACGGTTCCGAATACGGATTGGGGTTTAACGATGTTGGGTTTGTATATTGTGGCCGGTATTTCGTCGGCAATCTAGTTGTTATGATGACTGTAATGAATGATTTCTTTATATGCTCGTTAACTTTCATTTGACGCTACTATACTATAAATGATGCCGCAAAACGTTGTGGGAATTGTTGGTAAAAGTAGTCACTTTAGAGGATATTGCAGGGCCTGCTCTATCTTAGTACCGTACACTGTTTCCAACAGTAGTTTGTAATTCCTCAGTGCTCTAAGCCACCAATAATCTTTTGTTTGGAGAAATTGTTGCTCATAGTTTGTGTCTTGACTGTATAGTTGGTATTTGAAGAGTTTTGGTCCTGGGCAAACAAGTTCATTTCCTGCCTGGTATTGTCATACATACTATTTGAAACTTTGTTAGGTTAATGCTAATACACTCTTAGCAATTCAAAAACAGTAGGCATACAAATTCAAATCCAAAACATGTAACCATGAAAGGCATATTGAAAACCAGTAGCCACAAAGGGCTTGGACTGTTTATACCTTCTTGGTCAAGGCACCCCAATGAAGAATCAGGGGCCCTGGTTTATTGAAAGAGAAGAACTAGAATGATATGTATCAAAATGATCATGCGTACTAGGATTGCATGAACAAAGGTACAATGATTAAAATCAGCAAAACGAGTTTTAGAAGAACAACTTCCATCTCTCCAAATTCTTCCTTACTATGAGAGTGGGCTTACCAAAGGCCCTAGTTCACTTAAAAACAGCAATGACATTTATTGAAACATACCGCATCCCCCCGAATAGTAGCGCATATGCGCTTATAATAAAATCGTTCTTTTTAGGGGGTGCGCTTGTAATTGAGGAAAGGGCATAAGAGCATTCGCTTATGAAATGGAAAAAAAAGACTTTTGTTTGTAAGGGTACCAAATCGAAGCTCTCATTAAGGCGAATACGCCCATCAAACGTTCACGTCGGTTTCGTGCATGAAATGCAGGCGAAAACAGCAGCGACTCGATTTCCCACCGCACAAATCCTGTCCCCGAGCAACGTATCTGCCAACGTTGACTCGGAAGCTGCCGTGCAGCCCAATCCCGTTGTTATGCGTTGCCAGGCAGGGACAGCTCGTCCGATCCCTCTAGAAGGGGATCGAATACGCACTGCCACCACAGCATATGTGCCGCCCATTTTCATCCTCTGCGGGTTCAGGCTGTGGGGGTACCCGTCCATCATTGACGAAGACGGCGAGCCGCTTCCCCGCAGGGGTCCCGTCTGAAGTCCATTTCTTCTCATTTCTTGCTGTTTTTTATTTAGTTTAGCATGTTTCACCCACCAGGCTGTGAAAGCCATTGCGGAATTCACTGGCACCCACGTCCGCCTACCGTGTGGATGCTGACGGCTGGTATAGCCGTATCCCACCATCGCTCCCAGAGCCACCACAGCCTCCGGCACCGCCTGCGCCGCCATCTCCTCCATGTCCTCCTGCACCTCCAGCTCCACCTGCTCCTCCGAGTCCACCCGTGTTTGCAGGCCCATCGAATCCTCCCATTCTGACGCTCCTGCACCTGTCGGCGTTCGACAAGTACCTGTCGGAACCTGACAGCAACAAGCCCCCCCGACGTCTGGGTTCCAGCTCCGCCCCCGGCACCACGATGGGGCCAGCCGCAAGATTGTGCGTGGGACGAATCTGGTGTGGGCGCTGATGACGATGTGCCCGACACCGAGGCTGGCACCGAGGCCGGCACTGACACTGGCACCGACACTGGCGCCGAGGCAGATGTGTTTCCTGAAGGTGCCCCGGGCGGCGAGGACGACAACGGTGTGGAGTATTGGTCGCGCAACGGACTTCCCGAGAAGCTCCCTATTCCTACGTTTCCTCCGATTAACCACAAGCGCCCCCACCCCTCTTCTGAGAATTGTGATGCCCGCCCCGCCTCTCCCAGGCACAAGCCCTCGCAGCATAAGTGCAACGCTTATACCGCGCAGGAGAAGCTGCAGTGGATTGGGCGCATGGATGTGGCGGTGTCGCTGCGGTCGTTGTCTTGCGAGTCTGGAATCCACCGCAAATGTCTCGCGGAGTGAAAGAAAGCCGCCGCCATGCTCAAGGAAGCGCACTCAGCACGGAAGCGGATGCACGGGCGCGGGAGGGCATCGTGGTACAGGCCAATGGAGCTGAAAGTCTACGCGAAGCTTCTCGAGTGGCGCCGCAAAGGAACACCCATCTCCGTCGATCGCCTGCAGGAGTGGTCAAAGGAGTTCATGAAGGATCTGTTCCCCGACGTGAAGTGGAAGGGCAGCCAGCGGTGGTCGGAGCGGCTTCGACGACGATGGAATCTGAGCGTGCGCATGAAGACGAGGATTGCCCAGAAAACCGCCGAGCGTAAGTACTGAATTTTATTGTACCGTGTGCTTGTTGTAGTTTTCAATCAAAGGTATTGACTGACCGCTGCCTCTTAACACTCTCCGTGTGTGCGCAGACGTCTTGGAGCTGTGGCAGGCTTTCTGGCAGTACGTTCGCGACAAGCAGCGTGAGCACGGCATCGAAGCCCGCTGGATTATCAACGCCGACCAAACGCCGCTGTGGCTGGAGATCCCCGTCACGACTTCTGTGGACGAGACAGACGTTCGCTCAGTGCCCATCAGGAGTGGGGGGTACCAGAAGGAAAGTGTGACCGTGATGCTGGCGTGCACGGCCGACGGCAAGAAGCTCAAGCCGTGGGTCTTTTTCAAGCGCAAGACGATGCCGAAGGGTGACTTCCCGCCAGGTAAGGTTACACGGTGGTCAGGCGGTGTTTGGTTTTACTGTCGTGATACTAACGCATGTTTCTTTACTGTCTGTGATATCGCAGATGTGGTCGTGGCGGTGCACCCAAACGGCTGGATGGACACCAACGGCGTCATGCGCTGGCTCGAGGAGTGTGTCAAGCCCTTCATCCGGCCTCGGTTCGGCAGGCAGGCGAGGAGTGCCATGGTTGTCCTGGACTCTTATCGTGGTCATCTCACGGACGAAGTGAAGCAGAAGTTCGTCGACCTCGACATCGTTCCGGTGGTGATCCCGTCGGGCTGTACAGC